TAACTACATTACAAATTATATTCACTTCCCCTAAATAAGGGCTGGAGAGTTTATCTTGAACAAGCATAGCCACAGAAACACAAATGTTTCATGACAGACCCTCTCCACCTGCCACAGACTAGCTGCATCTCCTGCTCTGTGACAGAGCTTGTGAACCTTGGATCTCACAGCATCACAAGCCAGACTTTTGTGACGTGATAAGCAGTGGAGGAGGGTTAAGGAGCCCCTTCTGAGCCTGGTGTCTTGTTCACTCAGCCATAAGAAGGGCGTAAGGCCTATAGACAACTACAAGTCTACATGCTAAATACGACACCCTAATTATGTCACTGAAGGAGAGGCGAGACAAAAAGGGTATTCCAGTCGCTCTGACAGAAAGCAGCATTCATTTTCCTAGCATTGCTCAAAGCAGGGTCACAGTAAGCTTGGAGTCTATACAGAGGCACAATGTAGAGGACATCCTGGACAGGACACCAGCTGACCATAGGGCCAACTTTGAGCAATTAGGAACACCAATTCACATCTTTGGACGTTGGGGAAAAAATCAGAGAGGACAGGGATAACATGCTCAACCCTTTTGGTGTGTGGCCAGAACACTATTCACAGATCCCTAAAAATGAGCAGCAAAAAGAAATGTAACAAAGTTTTAAGATTATCATAAATTTCAACTGACGTGATGGCAGTATTGCTGTGAGTTTATATATGTGAAGAAAGAATCCGGAAGTTGCCTGAAGACAGTCTCAATCAGAAAAGAGTGGTGTGATGTTTACTGATCCAGAAGAGCTTAAAAACACAAACACAAGCCACAAGCCTCAAGTGAGAATAGCCTGAATTCTTGTATTTCAGAGTTCTTTGTAACTGTTGCCGTTTGTCTAGTTTCCTTGTGAAAAAAAGCTATATACATGGCATACATGCAAATTTTTTAGACTAGAGGTTGCAAGGCTCATTTTTACTCATACGGCATGAAAAGGGATCTGTTCAGGTATAAGCCAGATAAGCAGCCTGAACTGCTATTGTCCTCCATGGGGAAGGGTGATCTGGGTTTTATCTGTGGGCTTATGTGTACCTAGCTGCAGCTCAGGTTGTTCGGCGTGGTGCAAACTATAACTGATATGCACACTGGGACGGTTTCAGACCGGTCAGCTGTGTGCAGCCTAGATACTAGGCGGATGCTAATTATGAAACTGTGACTTTAAGGCAGCCTCTGAGAACCATCGCTGCATTCGTATCCCCTTCAAAATGATGAGCAAACAATTGCAGATTTCAAATGTGGGTGTTAAAGCTCAGACCATCCAGAAACTAAACCGAGAGCACAATCCAGGACCTACACTTATGTGGAAATACTGATGCACAGAACTCACTGGGAAAAAATACCAGATATCAACTGAAGTAGCACATGGCCACAGTGTGGTGGGTGAGGTGCTGGCGAGCCATAAAACACCCCTGCTTCCTTCCTAAAAGCTTCCCTAATGAGAGCTGAACGGTGTGCAGTCTGGTTCCATTATTTATCCCCTGTTATCTAAATGTATTTAAGGAGCACTCTAAAATTATAATTAAGCAAGTAATTGATGTTGTTTGAAATGCACGTGCTCTATTGTCCATATATTTCCTTCCGCGTGTTACGAAGGACGAGGGTGAAATGGACTTTTAGCAGAGCGGGCAGTCAGAGGCCATTTTCAGCCACTTCTGGTGTACTGGCACCCCTCCCCCAAAAAAGGTGGGAGGGAATAAAATTCATAAACGATGGTGGCTGTTTTCACTCAATTATGCACATGTTTCCTTAGACACGTTTTTCATTAACTTTTACTTTATTATACACTACTGCTGCATATTTAACTAAGAAGCCACGTTTAGACCTGACAGATGACATTAATTAATGGGTCCGGCATGGTCTACTGAAATGCATCTTGTTTACTGGCTAGAAGAGAGATGTCAAGGACTTATTTCATGCTGAAAGTTGTTATTTAACCTTGTTGACTATTTAATAATCTTTTAAAACCAGACTGGAAAATTACACTATACAGGTGGTAAAAATAAGATTTATTATACACTATATGCATGGATATGCATTGGATTTTTTAATTTCAGTATACTGAAGGTGTAGAATAGCACTGAGTGCCATGCTAGGGTGATAAAAGAAATAGTTTAATACAGAGAATTGTGCTTTAGTGGTTATGAAAAGTGTGAAAACATAACGGATTCTGGTTTATAATGATAACAATAATAATTATAATAATGATAGGTTAATCACAAACTAATGAAGACCAATTTAGACCAAAATAATTGTCACAGTAGAGCATGGAAATTGAATTACGCAGAGATAAATAATATACAGATAAATATAAATATATTTTTCTGTGATAATTCCCCATCCTGTGAACCAGATTCCATTTGATTTCCAGGGGAGTGGCGCCCAGAAAACTGGTATTCTGTGCTGACCACCTACAGTCACTCATTTTGTGGATAAGAAAAAAAGTTAGCCCAGGCCATCTCCTCCCAGTGGTGAGCTTGTGACAAATTATTTATATCACAATATACTGCAGACTCCACCCTTTGCTGGGGGTTCTAGGGAACATTCCTATAACAGAGGGGGGCAGTAGGACCACTGCAGTTGTATAAAAATGTTATATAAAATAAACAGAGACATGAAAATTAAGTCAAAATGCTGTTTTGTTTATTAGACAAAAAATATATAGAAATGAAAAGTGAAATGTGCAGAAACTTCCCGACACAGGGATTACACATTATGGCAAAATAAGCAACTCTGGGAAGGCTGGTAAATAATTGTACCATTCATTACAAGCGCCTGCAATTAGCATGTAATGATGGTGCTCTTTATCATAAAGATACATTAATATTTTGCTACAGAATACACATTCCAGTGTATATTTCAAATTTCACAACTGCTAACTGTCCCAGCAATCCACAACACCAGGGTGCTTAGGTACACAACCTTTGGCAAACAAAGAGGTGAAAACTGCCGTGGTCAAGGGAAAACCTAAACAATGTATTTCTACCAAAAAGCCATTGGCCAACAAAGAGCAGAAGCAAACGATGCACACAAGCATCAATGCGGAAAAGCCCTAATGCTGAGTACAGTTCCACAGGAAGCAGTGTGAGATCCACGTGCCGCGAATACACAGAAGAGCCATAAAGAGCAACTTCCCTATCTGCAAATGCAAATTCTCCATCAATGTTAAACAAAAATGACCGGCTGGTGAGACAAGCGGCATGAGTCAGGTAAAGTGGACGACGTGCCGTGGCAGGGGGGCAGGCATGCTCCACAGAGCACACTGCCACTCAAACAGAATGACATTACCCCCTGCCATACAAAGTGATGCAAGTGTGCAGCAGGCACGCCAGAACTGACCTGGGGGGGGGGTCACTCATATTGGCGTACAGACTGAACTTGAAGCCCTGTCAGCACTTGTCACACCTTACTTCAATGAGGGAGACAGATTGCTAGGGAGTGAAACATCTGGGTGATAACTACCATGCCCAGGTTCCTGCCTTGGCTCACATCCAGTACATGAGCAGTGAGGTGGGTTTCAATCCACACACACAGCTCTTATTTCCTTACTTAACTCAGTCCACAGTGAACCACAGCTTCTGAAAGACATTGAATTCAAACCTCACACCTTGGCTAGATCTCTACAGGCACGACTCACCGTAAGGCCTGCTCTCCTAAACAACGAGCAAGTACAGGAAGCATGGACAAGCAGGATACTGAGAACATGCCTGTATTAGTCTGTATCAGCTGTGGAGCAACAAGATAACCTCCGAGCTGGTGGCTAGAAGACACAAAGCACTGAGAAAATTAAGCTCCAGAAAAGAAGCCCTTGTAATGCTGCAGCCTAACAACAGACTTTTTTGTAAAATACAGGAGCTTTTTTCTAGCAGCAGGAATACCGTCATGCTCATTTCTTTCTGCTTTTGATGAAATAATTACCAATCAGGAAAGTGAACTTGTTTTTTGCACTGAGAAGGAAGAAGATTGCAGTCTGGTATACGTCTCTAACATTTATAATACATTACTTATTTATCCCCTTACATAAAAGCTATTTTCCCCCCTGATCAAACATCATACGTGCAGTTACATAGTTAATGAATTTCGTGATGGTCTACTTTTTCAGCAAAGTGGAAGTTTGCTACGTATATCAAACAAAAATACATTTGCCAGACCTCAGAAAAGAAACTCATCCACGGAAACATTTCAGAAAGTAGGAAAGGGGAAAAAGACAAAAGAGCGAAATTAAAATTACTCACCAGTGTAGAGGAGGCCCCTTGTGGCAGTGAATGAGTGGCACAGTCACAAGATCTATCAATTAACATCGACACATTCAAAACTGCCAACAAATAACATATTTTTTCGGTCTGGTGTCCATCCTTCAAAAGAATACTTCTCTGCAAAATAGTTTTTTAAAGTTAATTTTCCCTTTTTTTGTCGCCAGTAACATTGATAGCAAAGATAATATTTGTATAATTTTTTTTTTTTATGTATTTTTTTTTTCAAGCAGAGCACCAGTACACTTCAGGACTGGAGAACATCTTTCCCAGAACTCAGAGTGGAGCTGCTCTGGACCATGAGAAGCACCCTTCAGCTACCGCGACCGGTGGATGATTCCACTCAGGTGGTGAGGCTCCAGAGACAGTCACCCCAGCTGACACGCAGCACCAATGGCGCACCCCCCCCCCCCCCCAGCTTCAGCAGGACTGTCCGATGATGAGGCCGTGATATGCAGCTGGATGGGGGGGTGTTCCAGTCCTCCGGTAGCACTTCTTCTGCCCGGTGTATAGAGCCAGGGCTATTCTCATTCAAGCCACGCGTTTCAGTGCATATCCCTGATTAGGCTTGAGCTGAGAGAGGGGAGAGAGGTTGGGGGTGGGTGAGGGTTGAAGGGGGGGTGTGCTCTGAAAAGGAGGCTGGCAATAAGACGTGGTATTCCAGAAAGCTGCTGTGATTACTCTCCCTGTGGCTCCTGTGCCGCTGGGCCATTCAGGCTGAACTGGAGCAGCAGACGGACGGAGGCGCCGTGTCCTGACCAGCGCGATGGTCTCCGCTCAAAGAAATGTCAGGTCTGCCACAGCATTCTGCTGCATCGTGTTGGGTTCAGCCACTCTCTCTCCCTCTCTCTCTCTCTCTCTCTCTCTCACTTGCTCACTCGCTCGCCCGCTCTCACTCAGTCACACGTGAGGAGACACAGAGGAAGCCTGGAATACAAATAAGGCATTTAGTCTGCCTTTCTTAAAGACACGATTGTGCTCTTCAGTTTCTTACTCAAGACGCCAGCCGTGTGCTTGGTGGCAAGGAGGACCTGTCCACATACTGTACAGTATATACCCTACTACCTTTGGGTGAGGGGTGTCACCAGACATTTAGGAGATCAGACATTATTGAAAAGAGACAAAAAAAAATTATAGTGGCTGACCCAGGCTCTCCTCTACTGGGAACTCTGGGTGCAGAGTAATACTGTATATGGCACTGGGATCAAGCTTATTTCCCAAAACCACTGATTCTGGGTAGCAAAGCTAAGCACAATCTACTGTTGGGCTGAAGCAGAGTTCTGTGAAAAGTAATATTTAATCTTAGAAACGCTCTAGAGTTCTTTTTTTCAGTTTCTGGTGATTAAATGGGGAGCACAGGGCATACCTTGCATCAAATCACAAGCTTTTTCCTTCATCTTTGATTTTAAAGATCTTGCTAACTCTCATCTGAGAAAATAAAGAGGTGAAGATCCTTTTTTTGGCCGATTCATGCTGAAAAATAAGAAAAAATGTGACATATTTCACAAAGATATGGGGGGGGGGGCTGCTTTTCTCACATCCACACAGCAATACAAAACAAGCCCTTTCAAGCATGGCTGCATTTTCTCACATTGAGGGAAATCTTTAAAAAGTCATTCATTTCAGTGAAGGAAAAATGAAATCTCCAGACTTTTTTTAATGCAAAATTAGCATTTCGAAGGCTAGCTATCAGAACATGCATCAACTGAGCGAAGCTGCTACATTGACATTTTCATAATTAATTGTGGAAATGGTGTCTCATTAGGGGCCCAAGGTCTGGATCAAACGGGCACTGAAGGTGGGCTTCTGCTAGAATAAGCTGTGGTATCCATGCAAACTGAGATTTTGGGGTATTGTCCAGTATTGTGCTGGAATGACTCTGAATCAGACATTCCTTTGTTCTCCCATGTTTACATTTAATGTAGAATGTGAAAGCATACAAGAACTTCCTAAGCAGTCCCAGGCAGCTGTGATACAGTAAGTTCAGGACTTGCCATGACTAATTCTCATCTTCTGGCAGGGATCTCAGATAGGGTCATTGGATCATTCTCCTCTCTCCCCCACCTAACGCTAAGGCCTTGGCAGTAGTTAGATATTATTGATGTTACCTCTATTGGTTTTCCAAAAATCTCTTGCCGATGTCAATACCATTTCACCATCACCTGTCAGGTTCCTCATCAACATTAGTTCTACTCCAACATCATTCAAATTCTGGTCCCATCCACGCTTCAATTTCCTGTTGGTCGGCTTCCCTCTGTTGACCACATTTCTCTCCCCATGGAATGTGCTACTCACGGTCTGCTTACTGTCCCTCTCCACTGCTGAACAAGCACCGCCCTTTCTGCGGTGCATCTTATATTGGCTTTCTGTCACGGGCCAAATTTAGCCTGAAACCCCCTCCTGCATCCTTCACTTGTCAAACTCGTGGTGCCCCCTCTCCAAACTCCAGCTGCCTGCCTACACTCTTTTTCATGTGCAGCTCCCCAGTGGTGGAATGAGTTGGCAGCAGACTTCAGAACTGTAAGCGTCAAGTGCTTCAAGAGCAACGCTAAGACACGCCTCCTCAGACGACACCTCTAGGTTACCGGTAGCCTGATTTATCCGAGGTCTGTTTATATTCCAAGTATGGACTAACCTCTGCTGCCTGCTGTCCTCTCAAGGGTATTTTATTGTTCAGTTGAATCAGCTTATTAGGGTTTAATAGGTTTGTTATGTCATCTGTGACATATTCAGGGTTTTTTTCTGTTTATGTTTAAGTGAGTCATAGAGCTCTTGTACTGAGCTCAATGTGGTATTTGGCTCTTTCCCCCACCCATTAAAATACAAAAATGTAGTGTTCCCCTGGAAAAAAACACAAGCTAAAAAAATCAGCAGCAGCAACAACAATGACAACAACAACAGGTGGCAGAGGGTAGCACTGTCGCCTCACACTTCCAGGGCTGGGGGTAAAGTCCTACCTCCGCACTGTGTGTGTGTGGAGTTTGCATGTTCGCCCCATATCAGACAGGATTCCTTACACAGTCACTGGGATACCATACCATAATGCATTTCCACAGTCTCCGTTTTAATTTCCCGTAGATATATATAAAAAAAAAAATGCATATGCCACTGTATCATATGTCTCTATTTACAAACTAAAGCAACTCAAATTGTTTGCTGTGTTTGAAGCATTGAAGAGCCTACTAAGCAAAAAAGAGTTTTAATTTACACTATAGCACATTGGTCACAATAACGGGAATATGAAAATCCCATTACAGATGGATAAATGAGATTGCGTTCTGGTGTCAGCCTGTATAATAAAATCAACTGAAATGGAAAATAAGGGTCATGTGAGTCCTGGGCTCCTGGTTTATTTTCATTAATCGAAGCTACGTTAGGCTGCCAGTGAGGCCTGGACCCGACCCCTTTTATTCTGGTTTGCTGAAGCCAGCTTGAAAATGAGACGGTAAGTGAGGTGGTGTCCTACGAGGTAGCGAGGGACACTGGGGAACCTGCAGTCAGGCCCTTGGGGAGGGACATACATCCCGACAAGCTATGGCAGCCCCAAGCGATGGGTGGGGCTTTCCCTGCCTCATTCACACTGATAAACCAGGAACATGAAAGAATTAGCTGCTGCCCATCCACCAGATGCATTAACTACAGGGGACTTCATTCCTGCACCAGCAGGTCCAGCTGAGCTGGTATATTCACACCACAAAAGCGTGTGGCATTCAAAGTACAAGGCATGTAAGTATATGTGCGTATTCTGCAGGAACAGATCAAAAGGCGTACACCTCTTCCTCGAAGTTAAAAAAAAATGCAACTAGTCAGGTCTCCTTCCAGCAATTTTCACATCCATCATTAGGAGCCCCCAAAGTCCACTCAAGGGTAGGGCTGTGCAATATGACCAAAATCTCATATCCCGATATAAGTCATCTCATATACCGATAACGATATATATCAAGGTTGCACCTATATTTATGGATTTTTTTTTTCTACAAATTTTCTACGGTAGCAATTGGACAAAAATCCAAATAAAAAGGAGCAAGGTCAAAAATGTAAAGGGATCCACAATCAGACTGGAAGTGATCCACAAATGTGCAAAATCCATTTCGGGTATAGAAATCACTCCGTATTTTTGTGGAAATGATTTTACGCAACACAAATAAAAATACATTGTATTTGTGATGGTCTGGGTGTGAAAATATTTTTTTAAATAATTGTGAGTTCCCTCGCAATAAACTTTTCCATTACTAATAATAACTGTGTACGTTTAAAGTACAAAAGATATAATTAATGGACCAATAATTATAAACCTAAATGACACAGACATATCCAGTTAAGTCTGCTTTAAGCATTAAACTATGGGTGTCCTACGAGCCAATGACTCAAAGCAGGTAGCACCGGCTATTGACGGGGAAGTGCACACATAAAAATTGGAATATTAATTAAAATTTACTGATAAAGAAATCTGGGCAAGTGTTGCGGGATCGCAAAACTATGTCGAGTGAACACTATATTAAAAAATAATTTCCCCACCCGGACCCACCGGGCTCCATAGTGGTATGAACTGGACAAAAATCAACAAATCCAAAGGGAAGTCACAAATAATAACGCGATCCACAAATGCGTTAGCTCCGCATTTTTGTGGGTATGAGGTTACACAACACAAATGAAAAAATACATATTTGTGGATAGTTCAATATTTGTGGATCTTGGTACATATTTAGCGTTTGTCTTCTGTGGGTTACAATTCCAAAATAAATAAATCCCAATAAAAACTTCAATCCAAGTGCCAGATCCCATGTAGTGGCGTGTATCCTTGCAAACTGTCATCCAAATGATGAAATAATGTTGCCGGAAACAGTGGATTTTGTGAAACCATGAGATAAACGAGAGAGCATAATATGAAACGAAAGACGTTTTCATTCTATCATCCGATATAAATCGTCATATTGCACAGCCCTACTCAAGGGTACAGCCCAAGGGCCACTTTTAGAATGTGAACATGCATACTTCACATGTGCTGTCCACAGCAGCAACATATAAGTCTGCACAGTACACACAGTGATGTGCATGCTTATTCCTACATTTTACAGTTTGTGTAAAAAATCAGATGTTCTCACCATGGATATATTGAGCTGCACATAAATCTTGCCGAGCATCAGTGCTTTATTTCTTGTGCTGCAAATGCATGGTCACGTCGCAACATTCACCCTTAACAAGGAGCTGGTTGGAAGGAAGCAGGGTGCTACCATTTTGCACGCAATCCCAATGGCCATACGACTGCCACTGCAATAACAGAAAAGTGCTGCGCTCACGTCCCGTAGTGTAACCAATATGTCCACCAGGCCCATCCCCTCATCCTATGAGTTTAAAAGGAGTACTTATAAGAAACTGACCCCCGCCCCAGCCCACCTCACCCACCATTCATTGCATGTACAAATCCACTTACTGCACTCACATTAGACCTCACTGTAGAAACAGTTTCTTAGCAACAGCCGTGCCTCGACCCTGCACTGTAACCATGTAGCAAAAAGTGCATAAATACAAGTAGTGGAAAAGTTGCAATTCATAAAAATTTACATATGCTCAAATGACCATAAGTCAACCAGAACCACCACTGGAAATCTGCAGTAAAACAAAACCCAAGTTAAACCTTTACCTGTCTTTTAAACAAAAACACACACCATTCATGTGTTTGTATGAAAATATGTCTTTGTGGAAACATAGCTGACTCGGAATTCTGTTTTTCTATCAATTTTAATGATTGAGCACTGTCCCACGTGCTTATTTGCATACCAGCATATTTGACCACTATGTTAATATATCCAAGATTAATTTCCCATCCTGCTTGAGTCACTTTTTTTTGTACACTATTTGCTTCGCTGAAGCCGATTCCCTAAATAAATCACTTTAATATCACAGTAAAACCTGTTTGTCATCATCTTCTGGACTGTCTAAAAAAGCCATCTTACAGCAGTTTAGCGGTAGTGTTTTTACAGCAGAGCCAGACTTTTATGACACTGTGTCCGCTTTAATTCCTCTCGCACTGCCCCCGCCCCCCCCAAAACCATCTCTCATCCTCTGCTGAAAGGGAAATACACACACCCTTTATACTGCCCTCAAATATGTCACAGCTTAAACAGAAATTAAATATATATTTTTTTTCTTGTTACTGGGACACATATATTTCCCAGTAAGTGATTTATATATCATCTTCCTTTAAATTAATTACATCAGCAGCGCAAGGAAATAAAGGCCATGCGAATTCGGCCCAAGAGCTGTGCGTATAAAAAATGGAAATCGGGTCAGTGTGGAAGCAGCCTTTCGCTCGCTCATCCCTGCGACATGCAGCATAAGCACCTACGTGCTGATGGTAAATGTCAAAGTGGATCATATATTTGTGTTGCTGGTGCTCATATTCATGGTTCTCCGGGTGGTTTTATCTCCTTTTCCCGGAGGACCACGGTTAAATGCCCAGCTTTAACCGT